TCACAGTGACCCTGGCTCAGCCTCATGACTACCGAGATTATGGACATATCCCACCATGCCCTGCAAAACTCAACAAGGTTTTATTTTCAGTGCTGGGAATCAAACCCAGGGTCTCTTGCACAGTAAGCAAATGCTATACAGTCCCAGCCGTTGAACACTTTTATTGGATCATTTGTGTGATTATTTTTGCTATTATTCTATTTGTTTTTTTTATAATCTGTATATTAACCCTTTATCAAATATATAGTTTGCAAGTACTCCTCTTATTCTCTAGGCTATCTCTTCATGGCGTTGTTTCCTTGCTAGACAGAAGGTTTTTATTTTGTTGCAGTCCCATGTACCAATTTTTGCTTTTTTGTTTGTGCCTTTTGGAATTATATTAAAAAATCCTTACCAATTCCAATGTCCTGGAATATGGCTTCTATGTTTTCTTCTCATAGTTTCATTTTTCAGATCTTACATTTAGTTCTTTAGCACACTTGAGCATATTTTATAGATGCCATTACAGTTCCGATCTGCGGTGTCCCCCAAATTGTCATATGGGTGGAAGGTGAGTGACTGACCCACTGATGAGTTCATGGTTGAATGTGCTGTTAGTAGATAAAAGCTTGGTCAGATCAGACATCAGACTTGGAGCAGGATCTGGAAGGATACATCTTTCACCCTTGGCTCTCTGCTTCCTGGGCACCTTGACAAGAACAGCTTTCCCCCATGACAGGCCCATCTACCAGGCCATTTCTGCATTTGAACCTGACAGCCATCAAATGAAACTTCTGAAACTGTGAACCAAAATAAAACTCTCCTTTAAGTTGTGCTTGTGGGGTACTTTTTCTCAATAATACCTGTTGAGAGTTAGGCATCTACTTTTATTTTTTCTAACTTATGAATATCCAATTTCTCAGCACCATTTAAACACATTTTTTTCCTTTCTACAATTTGTGTCTTTAGTACATTTTTCAAATATCAGGTGACTATTTTACTTCTAGGTTCTCTGTTCTGTTTCATCATTTTGTGTTTGTTTATAATAATACTTTAATTTTCATTACCACAGCTTTGTATTATATTTTGAAGGGAAGTGTAATGCTTCCTGTTTTGTTTTTTTATTTTCTCAGGATTGATTTTAATACTTGGGGTTTATTTGTGATTCCATTGGAACTTTAAAATTTTTCTGTGATGTTTTGATAGGGACAGCATGAACTCTGTAGACTGCTTTGAACAGTATGGACACTTTAACAATGTTGATTCTTCCAGTCAATGAACACAATTTTGTTTATCCTCTTTGATTTCTTTCATCAATATTTTATAGTTTTCATTGTTGAGTCATTTGATCTCTTTGGTTACATTTATTCCTAAGAATTTTATCATTTTTATAACTACCATAAAGGAGATTGCTTTCTATTTCAGAAAATTAACTACTGGTGTATTGTTTAGTGATTCTCAGGGTTGATTTGTTTTGTTTTGTTTTGTTTTTGTGGTACCTTGCACTTGAGAGACAGACAGGGCAACACTGAGCTAAATCCAGCCACTTAGGGGTTTTCTACATACAGGATCATGGTGTTTACAAACAGTGTCAGTTTGACTTCCTCCTTTCCAAAATGAATGCCCTTTCTTATTTTCATTGTGTTAGTTTTTAACACAGTACTGTTGGTGACATATTTAGCCAAGCAACTTTTCTCTACCTTTTCTCTATGGATTTTACTGTTAGATCCAGGTGCTCTCAGTAATTCAGAGTGACTTGTCTTAAAAATTTGTATTATTCCTGAAAACAATGTCACCCATGTCACTAATAATACATGTTTTCTGAATCAAATGTTCTTCTTCTTTGAAATTTAAGTTTACGTCAGGTGGAACTTTCAAATATGTAAACAAAACTGTTATTAGATTCAAAATTTGACCTTCAAAGTAATTTAATCACAAGAAAAACAAAGAAAAATAGATTGGTTATAATATCTAGCCCTGAAGGGTGGTACTAAACACAGACAAAAACTGGAGAAACTCAAAAGGGATATTGTGGGAAGGTTGATTATTTAATTTTGAGTATGTTTTGTGTAGGATTATGATAAACAAAATAAAATTTTTTGAGGTCACTTGAAATGGGAATGGCTAGAGCTCCATCAATTCAGCAACTGTGTTGGTTATAATTACCCTGAGAACTGGGCATATGTCACTGTGAAAACTTTAACGGGTATTTATTAAATGCCTCTTATACTGTAAGTTACTACCAGTGAACTTCTATACAAAAGGTAAAGTACGGAAGTATTCATCGAAGATCAGCCTATACTCTTGTTAAGCTCCAGTTTCTCACTCTAAATGAATAGTGAAACAATAATGAGTAGAATAATGTTCTACCTATAATATCTATATGTTTTAAGTTTTTGCAATAGTTAGGAGAGGTCATATACTATTTCAACATCCTTTTTCTGTGTCTTCAGTCTTCCATTCTTCTTTCAAACACTCTGTTTACCAAATCTCTATTATACAGAATGCTCCCACATTTTTAGAACAACAGTATTTTTACTGAATTTGGAAACTAAATGATAACCGATAGAACCAGAGTTGTCTGCTTTATATGTATTTTTGTAATAGGGTAAGGACATAGATTTAAAAGCCAGATTAAAAAATTAAAGAATTCATAGGTAAAAAATAAACTATTTGCTTAAAAAAACTAAATTTATGCTAATAGTTATAAAAATACATTCTGAAAAAAATAAATACTAATATTATCTTTTTTTCCTTTCACTAGTATTATCATTTGAGTAGACATTTAAAGATTAATTATATTTGTTTCTCAGGTAATAATATACATTTTTTGTCTGACAGATAAGGACCACAAACATATACAGGAAAAATATTATTTGCCTTGAACTGCGTTAGTAAATACATGAAACGATATTCAAAGCCAGATTTAAGAGTTTTTACTTAATTTCCATATTCTAAAAAATATGTTAGCCATGTTATATTACTTGATCAGACTCAAGAAAAATTTTAGATTTGTGAAATTTTAATACACATGCAAAATTACTTTATTCATTAAAATTCCATGAGAAAAATTCAGAGACATTAGAAAACTCTGATTATATTATAATATGAAGCAATAATTCCTAAATATATTTTAGAAACAAAAATGAAAAATATCTTTTAATAATCACAAATATAGAGTAAGATTATTTCTTGTGCATGAGCAGCTGTTAAATTTTCTTATATAGCTATACTCTGTGTATAGAAATATTAATTGACAAAACTTTGTTTTTAAGTTCTTATAATGTATTTTTATGCCTTGGAACTATGCTGAATTCAGTGAGGGATTTATGCTCTCTATCCTCAAAAGTGAGATCATGGTGAAGAAGAAAAAAAGAAGAAGAAGGAGGAGGAGGAGGTAGAGGAGAAGCAGGAGGAGGAGGAGGAGGAGGAGGAAGAAGAAGAAGAAGAAAGAGTAGAGTTATATTCCCTCAAGCAATTAAAGGATGCCCTATAATTATAATCACATGTAATATATAATCGCACTACCTATTATAAACTTTTTTATACTTTAATGTCTTAAAACTAAACTTTCGCTAATCTATTCTACATGCAGAAATTTATGGACTGGCACTTATGGTTAGAATTCTCACACAGGGTCCTCTACAGTACCTAATGACACCAAGCACCAAGGGTAAAGTTGATGATTCAGCAGGACTATGTCTTTGGAGTTAGATATGACCAACAGAATAAGAAACCTGTAAATTGGCAAAAACTAGATAAATGTCCAATTTAAATAAATTCCCAAAAGACAGATCGATCTGATATGGACAACTCTGATCTGGGTTTGCGTAAAATTGGTGTGCAATTTTCAGCCAGACTATACAGAATTGCTATACAAAGTGGTCATTATTCACTTGGAGTGCAAAAGTAATTTTGTAAGTTCATTCTGTTGTTACTAAGGGAGAACTATAAAGTAGTTGTTATGAATATGCTTTACTGTAATCTATAATAGAGGGACTGCAAATTAATCAAACTATTTATAAAATAGCACTTTGTTTCAAATTTTGCTAATACTATCGCTTCTCAGCCTTTTGGCTAAGATCAAGTGTAGCAAATTTTGCTAATACTTATCATCAATAATGTACTTAAGGTATATCATCGGTAGCTAGAATAATTGGGTATACAAGATTTGTATGTTATGTGTTGAAGAATGATACTACCAAACATTATAAACCAAGATCAACCAGGATGAAGCCATCATCAGGCTTGGATCATTTCAGTATCTTTTAAAATGTTCATTTTGTTCATAGTTTCTACCAGATAGAGTCATTTAAATTACATTTTTTAAATTTTCATCAAGTCTAAGGATTATTTAATGTCTATAAATTAAATCTTAATGTGGAGGTCTAGCACTGATAATACTCCTTAGCTTGGGATTATTATTTCTCAAATATATAAATGCTTACTAAAAATAGTAATTAATTTTTTATCTTCAACTTGTTTTAACCATCCTCTGAACTTTCCATTATCATGCTTACTTTTCTGACTTTGTTTATTGTGATGGTTAATATTGATTGTCAACATGATTGACTTGAGAGATGTCTAGATAAGTAGTATAGGGAACTTCTGGGTGGGTTAAGATCTTTGGGAATATATCGGTGCTTGCCCCACTTTTCTTTGGATCATTATCTGCTCTCTGCTTTCCAGGTGCCATGAGGTTGGCAGATTTCCTCCATCATGTCTTTCTACCAAGACGTTTTTGCCTTGGAGTCATTTGGCCATGGACTTAAACCATGAGACAAAATAAACTCTTTCTCATCTAAATTGTGTTTAAGATCTTCAATTAAATTTATGTTTTGGATTTGTTTGTAAATGGTTATGTTATGTATGGTAGGATTATAAACTTGTTTTGACTCTGCTTCTTTATTTGGAAATTAAATGTGGTTTAAGGAGATGAGATTAGGTGCCAAGTTGACAAGGGTGGACTTGTGATACTTAATCTTAAGTGTCGACTTGATTAGTTAAGAAATGTCTAGGAAGTACTCACTTCACCAGCACATATTCTAAAACTGGAATGATATAGAAAAGATGAGCACACCCTCTGTGCAATAATGACAGGCAAACTGGTGTAGGGCTCCATATTTCTTCATGAAGAAAACAAAACTGGGAAGGACCTGGCAGGAAAACTAGAAACTACTGAGAAACTGGAGAAGATGAGCACAACACAGAAAAAAGAATGAAGCTACCTACAAAGCTAACCCTGAATCATTCAGGAGAGGGAGACCTATCTCTACTAATGTAAAGTAAGTCAGTCCAGAGAGTGTCAGTAGCTCCAGGAAGAAACAATCAAATGGGCAGGCAGTTTCATACCCCAAAAGGCACAGTTATTGTAAATTGCAAAAATAGTATAGGTTTTACTCTGAAAGTAACTTCTTCTTCATGGTAGGGTAGAGTTGGTAAAAACAATCCAGTATAGTTCCTGCCATATTTGACAGTGCTTAGCCATCTTGGGAAAGAAATTAACTGTTGAAGGCTGAGATACAGAACAACTACAGAAAAACTACATTTCAGGGTTTCTGAGGTTACTCTGTGTCATAGGTTATAGGATTCCCTGTGTATCAGTCATTTCCTACTAGAGAAAAAGGTTTAATGAAAGATATAAAAATACATAAGAATTTAAAAGATTGGCTTACAATGGTTGCCCAAAGAGTTAAGTGTAAAGAGTGCAAATGACCTGTCTGTTCACTGGAGTTACAAAAGATCCAGTGAACACCTGGAGCTCAGTATAGTGTCCCATGAAGGATTGTATCAGACAAAATAGTCTGCTCTGGAGGCCAAAGAGTCTGTGATGGAAGCCAGGGGACAATGTCCAAGATGAAGGCAAAGACTGGAGCTCCTCTAAAGAAACAGAAGCAAGCATGCCTTCTTCGTTTCCCTTCTATATAATTCTGATAACCATCTTCCCTAGGGTGGGTCTTCCACACCAAGAGCTATGCTGAGCCAATTTAGTTGGGTGTTTCCTACTCAAGGTGACACAATCAGTTAACTATACATCCTGTGTCATCCATATAGTGTCTGAGTAAGAGATGGCTACAAGAGACAGTTGTGAAGAAGGCACAGAGTATACACAGACTCCTGAGGAGTTTAAACTCAATGCTGGAAAGGACATTGGTGTCCTGCTATCCACGGTGAGAAGATAGGCTGCTTTTATATGGCTTTTGGAGCGTCTGAGTCTGAAAGTCCTGGCATTAAATCCATCAGGCTGTTTCATCCACTTGCCCTGCTTCCTACATCCAACACAGAGCTCAATAGTATATTACTTTCCCAATCTGACATCTTGGATGACTGCCACAGCCTGGAGTGTATGAACTCAGGTGCTTTGGGCACCTCACAGACCCACAGCCCATAAAGTTAGGCAGAGAAAGCTATGACTTGGTAGGTCTAGAGAAGAATGGAAATTAGGAGTAGCTGGAGTGAACACAGGCACAGAGTGAATACCATTGACCAGCCCTGCTCAGTAGAAAGGCAGGGAAGGATTCAGGACTCATACACATGAATCAAAATATGAATATGGAAACAAAATAGGTCTTAATAGTGACTTCCAACCCTTGCCCCATATCTGGTGCATTGCAATACTACAGACTATAAAAAGAAATCACTCATTAAAAAATATGAAGGAATTTTCCATTTCTCTTTTTCTTCAGTAGTTTTAGGGGTTTTTAATTTTTTTCTTTCAATTCTCCTTTTATTTTTTTTAACTTTCCTGTCTGTTTTTTTCTTCTTCTTTGTTCTTTCATGTTATTTTTATCTAACTCAATTAATTAACTTTTATTTCTTAGCAGGACCATTTGCCTCACTTTTCTTTCCTCATTTCCTTTTTCTTTATTTTTCAAACTTTACTTCTTTCATTTTCCTTTCACAATCCAACATATTTCTGTATTACTATTAAACTTTATTCATCTGTGGATATTTAGTTGACTCTATGCTATTATTGTTCAACTCATCTTTATTGTTAATACAATATAGTTATTGCATTTAGAAGATGTTATCAGTATTTAAATATTTAGTTTCTCTTTATGTCTACATCATAATTGCAGAACTTTTTTTTTCTTTTGTTAAGTACAGTGATTGCTTTCATTGGTTCTTACAGCATGTCAATATCCAGTCAGATGTTGACTAATTATTGTTGCTGATTTCATCACTATTGCCAGGCTGGCACAATTGTTACTATGAACTCATTTATACTATCTGTAAATATCGGATTTGTCTTTGTGTTATCAACAATACTGTGGTTAATTTCCAGATAATTGGGGACCAGGTCAATGACATGCACTCTTTCTCCCCCAAATTAATAGAAATGGTAGCATGCTGGCACAGAGGCCTCTAATTAGCCACAACCAGAGTGCATCAGTGAAAACTAGACATATGCAAATCAACAACTGTAATACATCACATAAATATAAGGAAAAATCACATGATCATCTTAATAGACACAGAAGTAGTCTTTGACAAAAATCCAAAATCCATTTGTGATTTTAAAAAGTCCTGAGGAAAATAGGTGTAGAATGACCGTATCTCAATTTGGTAAGAGCAATTTATGATGATTCTATTGTTGACATCAAATCAAATAGAGAAAAACAGAAAGCTGTTCTTCTAAAATAAAAAAAAGACTCTGTCTACTATCACCATTCCTGTTAAGTCTGGTACTTGAAACTTTAGCCAGAGCAGTTAGGTAAGAAAAAGAAAAGGGATATGTATAGGAAGGTAGATGTCAATGTATCCTTATTTGCAGATGACATGATCCTTTAGATAGAGGACCCAAAAGATTCCACCAAAAGACTGATAGAACCAAATTCAGCAAGGTGAAAGAATACAAAGTCAACACAAAAAATTAATAGCATTTTCATATACTAAGAATGAACTCTTCAAGAAAGATAGCAGGACAACAGTCCCATTCACAATACCTTAAAGAAGAATTAAATACTTAGTAATTAACCTAATAAAGAAAGTGAAAGACCCCTACCATGAAAACATATACTACTTTGAAAAAGGAGAATGAAAATGACATCAGAAAAAGGCAAAAAATATCTTCTGTTCATGGACGGGCAGAATAAACATTGTCAAAATGGCCATATTTCCAAAACTGACATATATATTTAATGCAATATGAATCAAAATATCAACAGCATTTCTTGCAAAACTACAGGAAGCAATCCTAAAACTCATAAAAGAAGAGATGCAAAGTAGCAAAATAAATCCTGAGTAGCAAGAAAAAAGCAAGAGGCATCATAATCCCAGTCTACAAATTATGGTAGTCAGAAAAAACCAAACGTGGATTAGTGGAACAGAATAAAGGATGTAGAAACAATCCCAGGCACATCCAGCACATCTAAATACAGTATGGAAAATCAACTACTGACATATTTGATTTTTAATAAAGAGGCCAAAACATATGTTGGAGAAAAGATGACCTCTTTAACAAATGGTGTGGGAAAACAGGCTAGCTACAGGTAGAAAATTGAATCTAAACCTATATTTCTAACCATGTACTATACTAAAATTGAAATTGATCAAAGATCTAAATATTAAAATAGAAACACTTAATTCAATGTAAGATAAAATAGATAAAAGTCTTGAAGACATAGCCATAGGGAAACATTTTAGAAACAGAACCCTAACTGCACAAGAAATAACATAAAAAATCTACAAATTAAATTATATAAAATTAAAACCTGTTGTACAGCCACAGAAACAACTAACAGAGTGAAGTGACCACACATGGAATGAGAAAAAAATTGTCCACCTGCTCCTCAAACAGAAGAATAATATCTAGAATACATAAAAAATTCTAAAAACTTATACCCCCTAAATAAAAGACCCAATTAAAAAATGGGCAGATGAAATGCATAGGTGCTTCCATAAAAAAGTACAAAAGACCAATAAATACATGTCAAAATGTTCAACATCTCTGGCTATTTCAATAATGTAAATTAAAACAACACTGAGACTCCATTTTACTCCAAAAAGAATGGCTATCCTCAAGAAATAAAATAATAACAAATGTTTGTGAGGATGCAAGGAAAAAGAAATGTGTCTTTATTATTTCTATGAATGTAAACTTTTACACTTTCTTTGGAAATCAATGTAGAATTTACTCAAATAACTAAAATTAGAAATTCAATTTGATTGAGTTATTCCCTTCTAGATATCCTCCTGAAGCATTTAAAGACATCATGTCACAATAATATATGCACACTCATGTCTATAGTAGTACAACTCATAATAGACATATCTTGGAATTGTCTTATGTTCATTAACACATGAAAAGAATAAAGTAAATATTGGATTTATATACAATGGAGTGCTACTCTGCTATAAAATAAGATAAATTTCAATAATTTGTAGGAAAAATGAATGCACCTTGAGACCGTAATAGTAAGTGAAATAAATTAGGCACATCCTTAAGTATCACATAATTTCTCTTATATAAAAAATGCAAAGAATATATAAGAGCAAAATAAAAGATAGGCAATATGAAACATAGAGACATTTTACAAATGGAAAAGGGGCAAGAATTGGAGAGATGGGGAAGGATGGGAGGGGAAAGAGACATAAATAGAATTAAGATGTATCATGTACATGTTCCAACTTCCAACAGTGAATGAAATCATATACTGGAAACATGTACTAATAAAAATAATTGTTTGTGGAAATGTAAATTAGTACAACAATTTGTCTCAAAGAACTGAAATTAGAAATTCCACATGACCCAGCTAGGTATGTTCCCCAAAGAATTACATCATCATGCTACTGTGATACTTGTAAATCAATTTTTATAGCAGCACAATTCATAATATCTAAATCCTAAAAGTAGTATGAATACCTATTAACAGATGATTGGATAAAGAAAATGTGGTATCTATATATAATAGAATACTACTTGACTATAAAGAATGACAAATTTGAGACATTTGTATGAAAGTTGATGCACCTGGAAAATATAATTTTGAGTGAAATAAACCAGACACACAAGCCTAAATAACATAAACTGTCTTTCATTTTGGTGAGGCCAAGTACAAACAAATTAAAAGATTTAGGATGTATAGAAAAGGACTAAGGGATGGACCTCTTGCAACAGGGAAGTAG